TTTTAAAAGAAACAAAAACTATTGTTATAAATAACACAATCAATTGAAGTAAACTATGCATGCCTATTTAAATATGTTTACACATGGCTTGTGTATATTGTATATATACATATATATTATTCATACCTTTGGTGTATAGGACGCAAGCAGATTTTGACATCAAATTTTGGGGTAAAAAATGCGTCTATACACCGAAAAATACAGTATTATTTTAAATTTCAGAGTAGTAGTTTTGGACAAAACAACTGACTTTTTGTTATTCTTGGGGAAGCTGGTTGTTGTTGGAGCTTCAGGTGAGAGTTAATTTTCTCTTTCATCTAGTGTGTGTCCATTTTGAAGTGTTTGGAAAGCATATACTTGGGTTTTAGATAAAATGAAAGATATTTTTTTGTTCAAGTTAAATGTCTGTTTAAAATGGGTTCTGAGATTTTTTGAACTAAAATATAAATTGAGGATATTATTCTATTAAACTATTTTATATGAAGTTTGTCCTAGTTATTTTTGATAAAAGGGATGAATCCTGTTGTTATCTACTCTATCCAGTGTATATATTCTAATGAAGTCTCAGAAATATAAAACACATCATTAAATAATAATCATCAATAGGGATTTTTTTGAAGTACTTGCATTTATAACACAAACAAGTGATAGTAATTTACAACGAAATCCTTAAAGGAGGTTTAGCTTTTGTGAATTGTGTTTATTGTATGTTTGGGATCTTTGAAAGTGAATATACATATAATGTAAATGCTATTTGGTTTTTATGACATCTCTTTATAAAACGAAATGCGAATGTGATAATTCTACCTAGTGATGTGTTACAACCAGGTTTTGAGGAAAGTCTGTAAAAATGTTGGTCACTCATAACTCATAAGGTTTTCTCACATATATTGTGTATATAACTTTTGTACACTGTGCCAAAAAGTTTCTACCACACATGCTGGTCACTCATAACTCATAAGGTTTTTTCACATATATTGTGTATATAACTTTTGTACACTGTGCCAAAAAGTTTCTACCACACAGATTTTTTTCTCATATATTGTGTATTATACATTTTTTATAAAGTTTCTACTACACAAGTTTTTGGTACTTTGATATACCGCCTGTACAGATTTTGAATGAATTATATGAAGTTTTGATTTTGAATTGCAGCTTTGGCAGCTTTCTATATCTTCAGTGGTGAAGTTGAAATTTCTCAGATTGATGGAGTCACCAATTTGAACTACTATTTACTTCCAGTCATTGTAAGTATTTTTAGTCATTTATTGTACTTAAATTTATAGTAACTTTAAATATTTGTCTGTGTCCGAGTAGTGTCTTTTGATTATTTTATTTGTCCAGTTGTCCTGCTTACATGTAAATTAGTGTTATTTTGTATTATTATACATTTCAGCTTATCTTAATTTAACTCTCTCAACACGGGCTCAGTCAATTTGACCGACCATGTGACCTCTTTGTACTCGATTAGTCTTTATAGATTTAATACTCGTAACTTTCACTATAGTGTATATATCATCACGAAAGTTAGCAGTCTTTTAGTTCATATTATAAGTTTTTCACATACAAAAAATCATATTTTTTAGTGAAGTATTTTAAATAAAATAAAGATTTGTC